GGCATCATCAAAGAGTTCGAAAAAATTGTAAATTGTGTAATTGCACAAAATTTAAAATACATTTAAAAAAAAGTCGCTTTCCTACCCCCCCTCCTGTGTTTCTCTATTAGAAAGGTTAACCAGTCAAAAGTTCAAAAAGGATCGAACACACTCCCTAAATTCGTGTTGTTTTTCCAGAGAGAAGAAAATGCAGCAAAAAGAGCAAAGAATAAGGAGGAGGAGGAGTTGAGAAAGGAAAGAGACAGACAAAGAAAATTGTGAGTATTTTATTAAAGTTTTATTTACCTTTTCAAGAGGTTTCAAGAGGCAATGTTTCAATGTCTCTTTCTGAAGCCTGTTTCAAACCCACTGCGCCAACCTGGTCAGTTAAGTACGGAAGAAGAGAGGCGTCGGTATCTTCTGTTTTTTGTAAAGCAAGCAGTGATAAGTTTAATGGAGTCTGTCGCTTATGCAGCGCTGTAGCAGGCACTGATTCTCACTGCGTTCTTGTCGTGTGCCGAACGTAAAGAATAAATTAAGATGATTTATAGTCCCCCTCTCCGACATCTGAACATGCTTTTATATAACCCTTATTCCCGTACCCAGGCCCCATACGAAGTATTTAATCTGGTTTATCAATCAGCAATCGCTCGGAAGTGGCTCTTAAGTCGACCTTTTTTTGCGCTGAAGCATGATGGGAGTGGTGTTTGAAGAATAATTAAGTAGTGGATTGTTTCCAACAGGTTCCATAGGGAGCTTTCCATAGTGCATTTTAATTTTCCCGCATTGATGTTGTTATTAAAGGGAAAAACTATGGAAGGACGCTAATTACTCAACCCTTAATATTGTGCTGGATGACGAAGAGGACGAAGATGAGACTAGCGATTCATTCGACGAAGAAGATGAACGTGAGCTAAGAGATATTCGATACGTACGTGGTGACGTCACGCATCCCATCAAAACATGCGGTTCCAATGCCATTATAATACACTGTGTTGGTGAGTGTGCGATATAAGAAAAACCCAGGAATCACTTCTATATAATTACTTGAAAGGCTTCTGCCATCCAAATAAAGGCTTTCTGCAGAATCTTGTAATTTGCCCAGTTGACAACTTTCTCAGTTTTGCAGTTTACCCTTCATTGTCTTTATTTGCATTTCATGGTTGATCTTCTTACACGGCCTTTAATTTTGTTATTTTCAGAGCTCATTTTATTTTTTCCCTTTAGAAATTTTTGTCGTTTCTTTCAGCGCCTTTCTAATAAATAATCTTCATCCCCTCGCTGATTCCTAGACAAAGCGTTCAGGAAATCTCTTAATTTTTTTAATAATCAGTTTTGATAAGCGGAATCTTGCGATATTTGTAGATCTCGTCATTGCTTCCAATTGACCCTGCGTAGCATACTGATAAATCGATATTACCAACAGACGACTCAGGAAGGTGGGGTCAGGGAGGACTATTCTCCGCGTTATCTCGAAGAACACCGCGAGCAGAAGCTCACTACGAGCTAGCCAGTAGATTGAAAGGTATTATGGTAGTTTTTACCATGTCTTTATCAAGACAGGCTGCTATATCCCGACTTCCTAGAATATTCGTATTTTCGAAGTTTGTTTTTTGGGCCAGCGGTGGTTGCTCTATCAGTTACCCAATAACTAAACAGAAAGCTTCAATCCTTGTGTTGACGCACAGGTAGCCCAACCCGAAGTCACCACCTTTCTTCTTTTTTACGTACCTAGAGTTACTCCACTGGAGGTGATAATTGTTTGTTATAACCCACCCATTAATTTTGGCGCGATTTTATTAGTTACTTTACGTCACGTGGTGCAAAATTACAGGACAGTTATCACGCAATAAGCCCCGTCCGCGTCGATATTTGTTCTCCGATTTTTTCCGTGAAAAAGAAACGTAGTCAACACAAGAGTTTCAACTTTTCCGTTCTCCTATTTACATGGAAGGAAACCAAACTCGTTTTTTATTTTTGCTTGCTTGTGTCAACCACGCGCATTCGCCATCAGATCAACACTGGCTTTTTTACTGTGTTTACGCGCAGTTTAATTGCGATGTGAAAATTAATGGGAGGGTTATGAAAGAAATAAACCCCGTTCTGGCTTGCTGGTATGTCGGCTGTTAATGTCCTTGGCTGAGAGTTTGTCCTCAAAATTTCATATTTTCCCTCGAAGCTTCGCTTCTTGGCCAAATATTCATTTTTCGGACAATCTCTCAGCCGCGGACATTATCAGCCGACATACCAGCCGCCCGAAGGGGTTTATTTACTAATTATTTCTAAATTAACTTAAAACTGAGAAAAGAAAAATTGCGGATGTTGTGAGAAAACTAATTGCAATCAGCTGCTTATTAATTTTAATTTTTTTTCTAATTCATAAAATGAATTAAATATCACTGAAGAGCTTAAAATAAGTTCAACTATATCTTGCTCTTCTCCGTTTCTTATATTTGATTCGAAAATCTGTTTCAACAGTACGTACATGTATACAGTTTTTTTTGGTAGAAATCCAAAGGAAAATTTGTTGTGGAAGGTGCTGTTTTTGCAAAAAGTGCTTTGAACGTTTTTAACAAGTGTTCTGTCTGCCACCTTTTTATAGCTTGAATCTTCAGGTGTTTTGGGACGGGATGATACCTTCGGGAACTCGAAGCTTATTTTGTTCAAAGTTTTCGTTAAGTGCCATGTGAAATGCCCCCGTCGGCGGTATTATCAAAAACCATTAGTGCTGCCATCATCTATGATAGCTGTTTTTTTTAGATCTGAAGTTAGGAGATACACATCTTGTCCCACTTGACGATCAAGAAGACCCTAAGGATTGCTGTGATTACGTACGTTTATTAATTTGTTACACAATTAAAAGCTTTAACTAGTCAGCTTACTATTATGATCACATCTCCGACTGACGCTAGTCACTCTAAAAACAGCCCTATTTCGGACCCTGAATACCTAAACCAAAGTCAACTTAAGATAGGCATATCTCTTAAAATTTAACCATCGCCTTGATGGAACTATGTTTTCCTTGTGATATCAGTGGTGTTCAATTACTTCAGAATTTATTGACTACGAGTATTGCTACTCCCCCTGAGTGGAATGTCATGGTAGGTGAACCCCAGCATTTCGTCAGCTTTCTGCGGTAGCTTGCTGGTACTTATTACACTCCTTGTTGTGGAAAAGCTTAATGAGAATAAAGCATCTTCCCAGTAATCTCTTTACAATGAACCGACCAGGGCTCGAACCCGGACCTCTCCACCTGGAATTCTATAAAAACTGGTAACAACTAAGATCTCATCCAGAGAAGGTTGAGGCATCTACACGGTTCCTTTTTTCTTGCAAAAGAACGGCTTCTGTAGTCTGATTTTGTAGTCCCCAACGTTTGCAATGCCAATTATTCTGGAATAGAAAATTAGAAACCGAGTCCTATGTTGGAAAAGCCAAAGAAGTTATTAGCAGTGGTAGCCGCTTGTTTATCTTTTCTGATAGATCATAGACAACATTCAATGACAAAGTGTGCAGTATTCAGTCTCTTTTTAGCTTCACTGATATTTATTTCTTCTCCAAGGTGGCTTTGATAGTGGCTCAGTCACGTGATAGGCAGAACAGACTCTCGGGAATAAAACTGACGTCACTAAGTCTAGGCTTGAAGCGGATAGCTGTGGCAGCAAAGAAAATGAAAGGTAACATTTGAAAATAGTGACAACAAATTAACAATCGACAGGTTTGAATTTGTAGAGCAGTTTTATTCCGAAACTTTGTCTGACAAAAAAATTCATTCTGAAACTCTCTATTTGATATGAAATCTCCGAAATTTTGGGATTTTACTTTCTTGGTTGGAATTTGGGTACGGTGACGGGGTAACCAACGACAACGGAGTAAATAAATAAATAAAGGGAGTTAATGGATGAAATGGAAATGAACTCCTCTTTCTCCTACGTTATGTTTTTTTCCTTCAACCCTATGCATTTATGCCGAGTGTAATTAGGGACGAAACTCAGTAGATTTTAGAATCAGCTGTGTAGATTGACTGAGAGAAAAGAGTGAAGGTGGAGGAATCCCCCAACCTCCTTTTCATGAAAAGAAATTTACCAAGTACTACCCTCCGAAAATGTGTAATTTTATAGAAAATGACTCTTTTCTCTCCAGCCACTGTTCACCTTCCTCGAATTGGCTACAACACACCAAGCTTTAACTGGTATGGCACGGAGAGACTGTTACGGAAGTATCTTGTCTGCAAAGGAATTCAAACATCAGTGTATCCTTTGTGAAGTAGTAGGTTGCAGAGATGGTGCTGTGGCGACAGCCTACACTGACCTCCCAGTACTGAGGACTGGGTTCGATTCTTGGACCTGTGTGACGTGGATGTCCACGTGTTGTTTGTCGTTTTCGTCCTTTTTCGGAGGTTTTTCTCCTGTTTCATTGTGTTTCCTCCTTAATAACCGATCCTTCAAATTCCAATTCGATCCGTGAATACCATAAGGTTAGAAATTGTGTCCGTTACAAAAGTGGTATTAATCTGTTTCTCTTTTATCGCAAACCTTTTCTTATATCTTTTAAATTTGATGCGCTACAAATTTGATTCGTCATTGAATTGTTCAGTGTGGAGTTAAGTCGCTTCTCTTGAGGTGAAGTGAACTCTCATATGAGGGAATTTAACTTTAAGGGGGCATTCTTGTTATGGGTGAAATGACGAAATCTTAGTGATATCTATGTTTTATTTTGTATCAGTAAAACTGAACCAATAGATCTTGACACTATCGCAGATATTATTTTGCTAGACGACTATCGGCTACGAATAATTCAACAACTCTAACGCCATCAAATGCGGATTCACAAACAAACAGAAATTGCAAGACGAAAGACAAGCGGGAAACATCCAAGGCTAACGAACCTTCTCACGGCGAACATCGGAAGAGTACAAAGCATTCACTGCCTGATTTCATGTTCGGTGTAAATGTCTTGTTTCATAGTGTTGAAGAGACAAACAGGAAGCAATTGACGCGCTACCTGGTGGCATATCCTTTGATCTCCATTTTTTTTTTGTTTTTTTTGGCATGCCTAATAAAGTGGAATTCTACTTTATTGTTCAATAGAAAATATGATTTAATCCTGACAGCCAACCGGGATACCTTATAGACCCTTTCCCGAAATGGCGACCAACGTCGAAAAAATTATCTTAAGGGAAAATGTTCCCTAGATTGCCGTCTTTGAGAAACGTCTTTGAGGTCCGTGAATGACTCGTTGTTAACAGGGAGACTTTTTTCTTTGCCCGAAGCCTGTGAAAAATGATTAACATAATTTCCTGAGTTAACCAGTTATTTTTGATAAAATTGAAGAGTCAGTAATGTACAACGTACTGGAAAAGTTAATCTTTAACATTTGTTTAACTATAATGGCGATGTATCACACATTGCGTGTCCGGATGTGACTCACGTGGTAACTTGTGATGATAGCGATCAATATGTAAGTATCATGCTGTCGTATTTTTTATTCCAGTAAACAAAAACAGGTTGATTGTAACGAACTTAATGGCCAGGTACTGCCGGAGCTTATCCCACTCATAGCATGAGGTGCTTAGCTCTGCAGTGCAGTATAGTTTCTTTCTGGACCCGTTTCTCGAAAGGCCCCGGTAATTTTACGGGCCCAAACCATGTTCGAATATGTACTTTTAAGGAATGTCAGAGCTGTTCTTCGCTCAAAAACCATTTCATTCTGTATCTTTTCCTGTTATTTTAATTGGCTAATTTCAAAAGTCCTGAAATCTTGATCTTTAATATGAACACGACATACAAAAAAAGCTCTTTGGGACTTGGCCTCATTTTCGAAACGAGTCCTGGTGCTCATCCTTTAATGTGATAATAAGTTTTCATTCACATGCAAATTAAACTAATTTTCACATAAATTGTTGAGCACCAGGCCTCGTTTTGAAAAAGAGGCCAAGGGTAATTCGGAAATGGGCTATTCCTTTAGTGTAGATAACCCCTTAGAAATTTGTTGGGCATCCCCGACAGTTTGTTGGTCCCGGCTATTAATCTTCTTACTAAAAAAAACAACGCTATGACATGATCAGTGATTCGAACTCGTTCTTTAATTTTCAGCCGGAATTTAGCACGCAAATCGTTAGTCCTCTGCGTCTACCATGTCATTCCTTTAAAATTGGCGACTTTGTTACGTTTAAGTCCCATTTTCTTCAGACATTTTTTCTTGTTACTTAAATTGAGCTTTCCATATATTTTTTTAATTGCCCTTTTCAGCATTCCTCTCAAGAATTAAACGATGATGTGAAGGTCGTCAGTTCGAAATGGTTGGAGAGTTGCTTCAGGAAAAGAAGAATCCAGGAAACAGCACCGTATGAAATACACAGGAAGGGAAAAAATTAATATTGTAGTGTATTTGGCAGCGAATTCCAATTTTGTTTTTGGCTTTATACGAGAGTACATGTATTTCTCTTCTTTTCTCCTTTCTAGACGAACCTCTCATAGTATCATTCTTCTGCCTTTAGCTCTTTCGAAGAGCTCATTAAAGCTGTTGTGCTACCAGTCTATTTCTCTTGATTTTGTTTTTTGTAACCGCTGCCTACGTAATTGGAAGTATTTCAAGTTGCAGAGAAGTAACAGAGATTGCTGTGAGTCATAGTAGATGGCGCGAGTCACGAAAACATACCTTTCTCCCTATTCAACCCTTCTTAGCAACCGAAATTTCTCAGGTAGAAATATAGTACTCATAGATAGAAAGAAAGTACATGTTCCAAGTAGGAACATGTAAGGCAATTTTAAGGCTGTTCATATTCACCGACGTCTGTATGACAAGGATTCGCTTGTCTGATAATACAACAGAGGACTTTCGAATTTGCTTCAGGGTTTTTGTGGGAGATCAGGCCCCGGTTGTTCGAAGGTTGGATAACGCTATTTACTGGATAAATTTCTATTCGGTGGATAAGGGAGTATGTTTTTCTATCACTTATCCTCTGGATAGCGATTTGTCCGTTGGATAGCGTTATCCTCCCTTTCTAAAACTCGGCCCAGATGAGATTTCAAGCTAAAGATAGAGTATTTAGAAACTAGCTTGAACCCCTGAGAGTGATAGGATCTAATTTCTCTCGACAATATCACCAATGTATCATAGATTAAGGTCAAAGGAAATGCAGCGAGAACAGTATGGAGAATATTCTGTCAGTGGGTTTGGAAGGAAGAGAAACGAAATCAATCAAACTGTCGGCTGAGCTTACTAAATTGGGAGAAACTAACTCTGAGCATCCGCCCACCTAAAGGCGGAAATCTGTCGCATTTCTTGGTGTCAGAGGATCCGCAGCCACTGGACTTCGAACAACTCAAGAGAGACTTAGAACTCCACTTGCGTCTTCATCATACATGTAACGTAAATAGAAATTAGAGCTCCAAGCCACTATTTTTGTACTAACAGTTTTCAAATTAATACATCAGTAAAGAACACAATGAAGGTTACCCACGAGTTCATGTAATTAAAAAATAACCTATAACACATGAGTTTCACGTGTCTTAATTGCCTTATTCCAAAGTACAAGAAACTTTTAGAAAGTTCGGTATAGAAGTGCAAATTAGTTTCCTACCAGTCTACAATGCATGCTTAATTTAGAAATTGCCGGTTGTCCGTAATTGACCTGAGACTATGCCGCGTGTACAATAACTGGCTATCAGTACTTTCACTGAAAGGCCGTTTACACGGCAGAAAAATCGGGTACGGATGTGTCAAAAAAGTAGTTCGGACCGCATAATTTTAGCCGTTTGCACGGATCATGTTTTATCGCGGGTCGGACAAAAAGAGGCATAAGGACCAAGTTAGCAAGGTTGCGTTTACACTGCAGTTTTTGGGGGACCGGACCAATTTCTTGCATGGGATTACAGTATTTGGTACCGCTGTGTGCTGTTATCGAATATGCGTAATTCTTGTAACTAAAATGGCGACTCGTGATGCTGATTTATGGGTATGGATCCGTGCTTTTTCTGGTTTCGGGGCCATAGACGTCATGGCCCCATAACCAGAAAAAAACACGGGTCCGTACCCATCCCCCAAAACATAGTACCGATTGTTTACACGGGCAAAAATCTGAGGTCCGTACTCCTTTTTTGACACGTCCGAACCCGATTTTTCTGCCGTGTAAACGGCCTTTGAGTCTTAAAATTAAACAATCACTCATTTTCAGTATTTTCACTGAACAATTACATATGAAATTACGATCTATTGTTTCCCCCCACGATATGCATGCTGGTGTAGGGGTGAAAACGAATTCAGCATCGTTAAATGAACATTTCCAACAGAGAAGTTAAGAGTAAGAATCCATGTCAACTTAAAAAATATCCACCGACAACAAATCTTCTCTTGACCCGCTAAGGTTGTCGAAACGTCAGATATCATAGACCACAACGATCCTTCTTAGGGCTACCCTCACTCGGGCGATCAAACTACTCGATCAAACGTCACCCACAGATTAATACAATTGAATTTGAGACTAGACGAAGTATCTGATGAAACCGTCCAAAGTCTGACCGAGACTTCTGGAGGACCAGTACCAAACTGGACCTCTCATGTTAAACTTTGATAGCCTAGATACTAGAAACTAGAATACAAACGTATAGTTATAAGCTAGATAATGATCTAAAAGCCGGTTTTGGGCGTAGAATTCCTTAGTGGAGCAGTTGGATTTGCATGGATGCACTTATCCGTGAATTCCAGGACTGTCAACCACAGTGCAAGGAAAGAGGATAATGACAACAATGGAGTTAGATGCTGTAGGAACACTAACAACATAACAAATCAATCCAAAAAAAGAATTCGGCCAATGCTCTGATAATTGTTGCTTGGAAATTTTCATGGCTTCATATATTACACTTGACTAAGTTCTTTGTTCAGTAGGCGTAAATCGGACGAAAAAGAAAATTAAAACGAAAGAGAAACTAACGTAACAATCAGAAAACCAGGAAAACTAAAATGTACGAGATACTAGCGGTTGGATTTGACAAAATGGACAGCTAAAAGTGCTAAAAATATTGACGTCACTACGAACACTTAAATGGACTAGATACTGGTGCAACATTTTGACAAAAAAGACAACTAAAAGTACAAGAGATACTAACTTAACAATCGCACAGCAGGGAAAGTGCAATTCACCAGATACTTAAGTAACAACGGAATGAGGAGAAAAACTAAAATGAGCCAGTTACTGATGTGATTGCGCAACGAGGCAAACTAAACTACACGAGTAACTTAATTATGTAACAATAGTACAAAAGGAAAAACCAAAAGTGTGCGAAATGCTAACATAACTATCCTAAACGAAAGATTTCTAAAAGTGCAGGAGATGCTTCGTAACAATCGTACCACGAGGAAAACTAAAAGTGCCTGACGTGATAACGTAACAATTGCACAACAAGGAAAACTAAAATGCACCAGATACTTATTTAAAGTAGCAACCCGATAAGGAGGAACAGCCAAACGTGTTCGAAATACTAACGTAACAATTCGAAAAGAAGGATATTTAAAAGTGAAGGAAGGCTAACAAACACGCAACAAGGAAAACTTAAAGTGTACGAGATAATAACGTAAAAAGACACCAAAGTAGATAATTGGACAAGCAAGAAAACTAAAATAAACAAGATGAGTCATGTAATAATCGGAGAAGAACTTTAAAAGAAAACTAAAATGTATAGGATATTAACAAAACAATCGGACAATGGGAAAAACCTTGTCTTCAATTGAGGCAGAAGGCGTTTTGCACACTGAAAAAGGCGCTATAGCCCGGGCTCTAAATGCGCATTTCTTTCACATTGGAACCAAACTGGTTACGAAAATGAAAGAAAAACTCCAGTGTGCAGTTAACAAACACAACTAAACGTGTTTCTCACCCAACTACTCTCACTGTATCGGCAAAGAAAACTTGTTTACTATTTCTACTCTCACTGAATCCTTTGTTCTCAAGCAACTGAAAACTTTACAAACTAACAAAGCCATAGGATTAGATCGTATCAGTGCACGATTAGTAATGAATTCGGCTCAGGGTATGGCATTTACACTGACAAAATTATTCAACCGATCCCTTGAAGCAAGCACATTCCCATCGTTCTGGAAACTTTGGCCCGGTAAAAAGTGTCTACTTTATTTAAGACAGGTGAAAGGATGGATTTCAACAACTACAGGCCAATAAATGTACTCCCAACCATCAGCAAGATTATTGAACGAGCCATACTCCAGCAAATTTCTGGGTTTTTTTTTTTTAGACTCCAAAATGCTTACTCCAAATTAGTTTGGTTTCCGTCCCAAGCTCTCGACAGTAACTGCCGTTGCATATCTCACTGACATCATACTTCAGAGTCTTGATAACAGCTGTTTTACTGAGGTAGTTTTCTCAGTAGATCTCTCCAAGGCATTCGATACCGTGGACCTTACGCTGTTAATAAACGCAAGATAATTGGCGCTTGCTCACAAGTCGTGCTTACGGCACTCACTGTCAAGTAATCATGTATGAAGACAACATAGTGATGTACGTTAGTGGAAAATACTGTCAAGATATTCAGTACCACCTAAATGCCAAGCTTGCCAATTTAGCTGAATGGTTTAATAGCTAACTATCTGACATTGAACACACAAAAATCAAAGTTTTTATTGGTTGACAACAATCGGAAGTTGCAAACCTGCCAAGGTATCACGCTGGAAACAAACGATGAAGAAGTTTAGAGTACGGGTTCAATCAAATATCATGGTACAGTCATTCATAAGAGCATGCTTGACATGGCAATCATTAATGGCCAAAATGAATCAAAGGATTGGATTACTGAGACTTGTCAAACATCTATTATCATTAGAAGCGCGAATCACGTTGTACAATTCCTAATAAGTCCACTTTTTGACTATGCTGATATCATCTGGGGAGACTAAGATAATACTGCTATTATGGAAGATTTGCAAATTTAACACTTTAATTAAGAAACGATGACATCCACATTTATAACACAGGAAGAAAGAATGATTTCTGTCTTCTTCTTGTTAAAAGAAATTATGGAAAACAAAGACTTTGATACATCATATGCGCAAAGGAACGGAATCTTTTAGGCACTTCTTTTAAAGAAATTGACTCTTGGCATGTTTGTAAGCAAAGAGTGAAAAACTATATACGTCAGTTTCGAGATTGTTTAGCTTCTACATTTAGTTTCTTATCGATTGTGTAATCAAGCAACTTTCATAGACACATTAAGTATAATCTGTAGTTTTTATCATAGTTAGTTAATCTACTAACTATGTTTTTATGTTTTTTAACTTGTCATTTATTTATGATGACTTTTATGTTATTTTACAGGGGCCTGACAGAACACCACTTTTTCAGTGACGTGAGCCTCCTGTATAAAGTCTGTTATTATTATCATCATCATTATTATTACTATTATTATTAATATTAAATTGATAAAAGAAAAAATCCTTAAAAGCATGGGATGAGATCAGTAGTTTATAAATTTCTGGCTCAAAAAGAAATAAAACAAAGAGATAAACAAAAGACATGGTTTTATGCTATTCTGGGTTAAGAATTTAACGAATGCAACCGGGGAATTACAATTCTTAGAACCAACGTTTCGACGCTCCTGTCTAGTTCCGTCATCAAGGGTGATTTAATAAGTGCAACAAGAGGTCCTTCTAAATGCTCACTGATTAGCAGCCCTTTCTTCTGACGAGGTTTAAATAGGCGTCAAGTAGTAAGCCACCATCATCATGATTTAAAGGAGCGCGGGCGGAGTTGATATGCCAAGCTTCCAAACAAGGGGACGATGGTAGCGGCGATTAGCGGTGATGATTTTAGAATTATC